TTTCTCAAATATCACCCTCCTCCACAATGATTTTTTCTCCCTCAAAATCCTCCACTTCCACTTTCCTAGCAAAGCTTTATTAAAACTCTCAAGATTCCTAACTCCTAGACCTCCCTCTGATTTTTTCCTACAGACCTCCTCCCATTTTATCCATTCGATTCTTCTCTTGCCCTCCCCCTCTCCCCATAAAAAATTGCGTTGAAGTTTAGTGAGTATGTAGATTACCTTTTTTGGGGCTTTGTATATAGAAAAGAGATACACAGGTAAGCAGGATAATACCGCATTGAGAAGAACAATTCTACCTCCGAAAGATAATGCTCCTCCCCCCCAACTGTCCAATCTTCTTCTCATGCAATCAATCATCGGTCGCCATGTCAAAATTCTGTTTGGGTTTGCTCCTATTGGGACCCCTAGGTATTTAAATGGGATGCTCCCCACCGAGCAATTCATAATTGATGCCAATACACCGAGAAAATCACCATCTACGTTCATTCTGCAAAGCCAACTCTTATCAAAATTCACCTTGAGGCCAGAAATCAGCTCAAAACATCGCATTACACATTTCATTGCCCATGCACTCTCCTCAGTTGCCTCACATGTTAGAATGGTGTCATCTGCAAACTGTAAGTGTGAGATACGGAGCTCACCTTTGCCAACCTAAATTCCTTTCAGCATTCCGATCTCCTCAGCTTTTCTCATTAGGCCACTTAAAGCTTCTGCTACCATTAAAAACAAAAAAGGTGAGAGAGGGTCGCCTTGTCTAAGTCCTCTTCCAACATGGAACTCTTCTGTTGGGCTACCATTTATAAGCACAGACACTGTTGCCGTTGATACACATTCTTTCATCCAATTCCTCCATTTCACATTAAATCCCAACTTATCCATCATAAACTCTAAGAAGTCCCATTCCACATTATCATATGCCTTTTCAAAATCAGATTTGAAAATTAGTCCCGCCTTATTGCTCCTCTTCATATCATGCAACACCTCATTTATTATGATAATGCCATTAGTTATCTGCCTATTCCCTACAAATGATGATTGGCTTTCACTAATAATACTAGACATCACCCTCCTCAATCTATTTGCCAATAGCTTTGAGATGATTTTATACATGCAACCAATCAGAGAGATAGGGCGGAAGTCGTTCATACCTTGCGGGTTTG